ATTTAGAGCAGTAAAGTTAATCCAGCCTGAGGTGGGCCTCCTGAACTGAGTTTGGGGAGCGTTTTGGTTTTTACTCTCAAACTCAACAGTAGGCTCTCATCCACACTAGCTCAACATGGTGACAGCAACATTTACCTATGTGCGAAGCCTGTGTGGTGACTCCTCTCCAGAATTTTCAGCTTTGGGCCTGACAGCATCACAAATCCTGAGTCCCCACCTCTGTGGTGCCCAATTTCCAGATCTCTCATGTTACCCTTCAGTTCCCACCTTGATGGCAAGCGGTGCCTCCCAACAGGAGCCTTTAAGCTAGCAGTGGAGAAAAGCCAAGCTGAGTCCTGCCTCCTGACTTGACTACACTCTGCTGACCATGGAGTCCCACCCATTCTTCTAAACGGGAGGTGGTCATTCTACACATTTGCATCTATTCGATTTATTTTCCAGATTCACTAAACAGGTTTCCAGATTCACTAAACAGGTGCTCTGAACCTAACCGTCACTTGAAGGGGCTTTCTGGAGATAGACCCACCCATTCACTCTACCCAGATGGTCCAGTTCTTAGGGAACTGACCCAGGCCTTATTTTTCATCCAAGTAACTCATGCTGGCTTTGATCTCAAGACCCTCCTTCCCTGACATTTTTGGGACCTGCTACCATGCTGAAACTTAAAGAGCTTTGTGGCATACAAGTGAGACCAGCCCACCTACAGGTTCAGCTCTTTATTGGACATGTCAACAAAAGCAGTTTAGTCAAAAAGACCAAAGCCCATGTCATCTTCTGATTCCTCAGACTCTTCCTTCTTTGCTTCCACTTTCTTCTCCTCAGCGGGGGCAGCAGCGGTGGATGGAGCAGGACCACCAGCAGGCACAGCTCCAGCTGTTGGAGCGGGCCCACCAGCCCCTACATTGTAGATGAGGCTCCCAATGTTGACACTGGCCAGAGCCTACAACACAGGGATATAGAAAAGGTCTTTAGTCTTGTGTTTCAGGATTTAACGATTCAGTTCAGATTTTTTCACCCAGGACCAGATCAATGTCCAGGACTACAGTAAATCAATACACAATCAAGACTGATATTTCTGGTGGAGGTTGGTCCTGTATCCAGTACAAAAAAATTTCCTCCTACAGATGGGAAAATTGTCCTAAATAACCCGAAGAACCAAGTGATAAAAATATTTTTAAAGTTTCTAAACTCTTTGAAGCCAGCCCCACCAGCTGGTTGACCCCACTTGCCAGAAACAAAACTACTTGTATAAATAGAATGTAGCTTTCCATTTTGCAATAATCTCACAGTTTCAAATGCCCAAACTTAAGAGGCAATCAAACCATGGACTGTTAGAAACCAGGGCCCGACATAAAAGCCACATCAACAAGCACAAACATAAGGTAGGAAACTCAAGAATGGTGGTCGAAATCATACATTAGCAAGTCTAACCCTAAGCTTAACCTTTGCAAACAAGCCAGGCCAGAAAGGTTCAACACTGACACCAGCTGCTTTAATGAGGGCATTGATCTTATCCTCCTGGAACACAAATGCCAATCCATCAGAACGATTAGAATTTGGTTAGAACTAAGTCACGGAAGTCGCTTAAACAGAGTTATGTTCTCTATTTGGTCTAAAGTAGACCTTATAAAGATGACAGCCAGGTTTGACATCTCAGTGGCTAGTGGGATTGTCCCGTATGACTGATGACCTAGTTCGAGGCCTAAAACTCAACCCACTCGAAACCCTTGACCTAAAAAGCGCATGCAGGATCACCATTCATGTGTTTAAGGTGAACAAAAGAACAAATCGGTAAAAACCGGGTTAAAGCCGGGTGTGCACACAGCCTACAAGCAGCACTTCTAGTCATGGTCTCCACACTCAACACTCCAGAGTGTATGCACAAGGGGTAAAGTGCAAGGCTATTCTCTGCAGTATACATAAAACATCCTGTGGTCAGCGTGAAATGTGTCAGTCAATGTGTGCCATCTCAGAACTGAGTGACAGGGCACACTGAAAAAGAAATCCTGCTAACCCCCAGCTCCTTCTCAGGCTCTGACTTTGAGCACTTTCATTCCCAGAATGTTGCTGATCAACATTAGCCATTAGGAGCTAAGAAGTGTCCAGCATGGGGCTGGAGAGATGGCTCAGCGGTTAAGAGCACTGACTGTTCTTCCAGAGGTCCTGAGTTCAAATCCCAGCAACCACATGGTGGGTCACAACCATCCGTAATGAGATTGGATGCCCTCTTCTGGTGTGTCTGAAGACAGCTACAGAATACTCATCAATAAAATAAATAAATATTTAAAAAAAAAGTGTCCAGCAAAGATAATGTGTAAAGATCAGACAAACGCATGGTACTTCTGACATCAGACTTGGCTCTCATACGTCAACTCTGGGGTCCGTGAGCAAAATTTTAGCCTGTTTCATACCCCATAAAGGGAACAATCATTCACAGCCATGTTTCTTTCTCTTCTCCAGTGATCTCTTTTATTGTAGCCCACAAATACCGAGAGCCAGATAAACACTGTAGATGCTTGGCATGATGCCTGCACCCCACATGGGAGGCCCTCATGATGTTAATGATGGGCCCCCCTCTTCCTGGGACCAGCTCCTGGGATGAGACCACCCATGGGAGGCCACATGCCCATGATGCCTGGGCTTCCAATGATGAGACCCCCACCCACCCTATGATGGTGCCCACTCGGCCCGGCATGAACCGGCCAGATAGGGAAGAGCAGAAGCGCTCTTTATCATTTTGTATTTCTTGTCCTGTTTCACCAGGAGACCTTGGTGCTGAGCCTGAGTATTTACTAGATGTATAGCAAGGACCTTCCTTCCTAACCGAGAGAACACTTTTGGAGGGAGAAGTGATACAAAAAGGGATAATTTTCACTTATATTGTGAAACATGAAAATAAAATGGTTTTAGTTAAAAAAAAAAAGTTCCAAAGAATCAGACTATAGTATGAAATCGGCTTGTATCACATAAAACTACTTGTTTTCCAGTCAAATGCCAAGATAAACAGCACATTCAACTTTAAAAAAACACACATTTCATGTACATGATACAGTAGCATGAGCAACTGTGAGCATCTCCTATTATAAAACAGAAATCAGAGTATGCAGGCACAGTCCTTGCAACCTAGCCAAATGAGTGAGGATTCTTTTTTCTTCTTATTCTTTTTTATTGGCGGGGGGGGGGGTTGGTTTTTTGAGACAGGGTTTCTCTGTGTAGCCCTGGCTGTCCTGGAACTCACTCTGTAGACCAGGCTAGCCTCGAACTCTCGAACTCAGAAATCTGCCTGCCTCTGCCTCCCAAGTGCTGAGATTAAAGGCGTGCACCTCCACCACCCGGCTCCAAATGAGGATTCTGATTCAGTTGTTCAGATATAGGAAACCAGCTCAGGACAGCTCAATTGACACCGTACAACAGTCACAACTGCCACTAGGACACTGAGCTACCATACCAGGCAGGCAGGAAACTTCCATTCTGAAAATGGTCTGATCTACGCTGAATAAGAAAACTCTAGCTCTTAAGATCTAGCACTTGACACAAGAGCTTCCTGAGACACATTCACAGCATAATACATTCCAACCAAACTTTGAAAAGGGGACAGACTACACAGAATATATTAGCAATCATGACTCAAGTATTTTGAAACCCCTTCCTCACCAAAATGTAAAACTCAGTTCACCTGATAACTTCTGACCACTGAAAATGGACACAGAGATACTAACCTTGTAGACACTTTTCTGCTGCACTTCTAAAGAGATTGGAATTTTGAGAAAGAAGTTAAAGTCTATGTCTCTAGTCCATCCTCCTGTCTCACAGCCCAAACCAGGCATTTCTTTACTGCTGGCCAGGTGAGTCTGACATCCTCAAAAGAGGAGGATTCACTAGAGTTGATCACAGAGACCATTCTCCATGACCTGCTCCCTAAAAGGCTCAAAGTAAAATCTGCTAAGTAAGAACTTGAGACTTTAGTCTGTTGCTTCTAAGAACTCTGGGACTGGCTGGTCACCATCATTAGTAATCAGATTGCAGGGCATTTATTGACATTCTAAATCAGCTAAGATCTTAAGCAAGTATTAACTTGCAAGACTATTTTACTTAAAATACTTTTAACAGCTAATATTTTATTAAATATATAATTCACAGTACTTGTGTGATAATTTATTCAAGTTCAAAGGAAAAATTATCTTAATATTGAAGAAATATAAACTGGGTTCACTTAAGCACCCTTGAATGAGGCAGAGCCCTTGTAAGGCATTAAGATAAACATTTTCAGCATGTAAAAGCTGTCTGGAGTTTCAAGCAGTTCAAGTAACAAAAATAATAAGGTGGAAGCACATTTTATAGTAAAGATTTGTGGTTGCCGCATGCAGTGCATGCATCTGGAGAGCAGCAAGCCAAGGCCATCACTGG